TACCATATCTCTAATGGTCTGGGCAGCATTTCATTTTATGACCAATCTTGGACAAAACTTTCACCCTGCTTTTAAGCTAAAGCAAGACATTTCGTTGAATAACTTCACCATGAAAAATCAGCATGATATGAACCTCTTTTTATTTTTTAATAGGCAAGTAAAATTATTCCTAGCTCAAGGGAAGTGTCCAGCACACAATAAATACCCAGAGCCAACAAGCTTCAGGATTTAATCAGGTACACATAAAAATATAGTTTTCATGTTACAGAGCTGAGTGTCTTTTTTGTTGTCTATTTAAAAACTCATTTGGGTTTTATGGTTTGAACTGAAACTGATGTTCTCTGAAATCAGAAATATAAAAGCAAAGGTGAACTTTCTTGTGAAAGCCACTTAGCTACAAATGGAATTGTTTCATTCATGGGTTACAGCCACATTCAAGGTACATTTGCTTTTCCAGGTGTCAGGGCAATGTGGATTTGGACATGCTAGTTCATCCTGGAAGTACCAAACCAAACTCTACATGCAGGCTCCTGACCATGTCAGAAGTAATGTTTCAAAAAAGGAAAAGAGGGGAACCATGACAGAAGGGACAGGGGAAAATGCAGTCTAAAGAGAGACGGGGAAAATGCCCACAAAGGAACATGAACAGCACCTACCTGTGGCAGAGAGTTGCTTATCTGAGGCACAGAGTTAACAATTCAAATGTATTTCTTTCAAATCTGTTTCTGGTGGTGAGGCGGGACTGTAAGCCTGAACCACTGCTGAGAACTTGTTATGCAAGTGCTGTTAGAGATGTGTTAGTGATACCCTAGAGATAACTGAGGAAGCCTTTTAGTGTAAACCCTTTTTTCTGATGCATGACTTCCTATAAAAATTATGCCCATGACGTCAGAGGTTCAACTCCAATCTCACTGGTGGTGACTGAAAACTGTTAACTAATGATTGCTGAGAAAACTGTGAAAAGCAACTTGCTGTCATTGCCAAGTAGGCTGGTTTGTAGCTAGTAGCAGCCACTGGAATAGCTTTCATTGTTGCCAGGAAGATGAAGTTAGTGAATATACTGTTGAAGAACGTCATGTCTACTTATTTGCAAAATTTGAGATATTCTACATTTCATAGATTTCATAGACATCAGGGTTGGAAGGGATCTTGGAAGATCATTGAGTCCAGCCCCCTGCCCCAGGGGCAGGAAGTCAGCTGGGTTCAGAGGATCCCAGCAAGATAGATGTCCAAATGTTTCTTAAAAGAGTCCAGAGTAGGTGCTTGCACCACCTCTGGAGGCAGTCTATTCCAGATTGGGGACTCGGAGAGTAAAGAAGTTTTTCCTTATGTCCAACCTAAAATGGTCTTAGAGGAGTTTGTGATAGTTTGATCTTGTCATCCCTTGACGTGCTGTAGTGAGCAGGCATTCCCCCAGATCCTGATGTACACCCCTTATATGCTTGTAGGCAGCCACCAGGTGGCACCTGAGCCTGTGCTTTTTCCAGGCTGAAGAGTCCCATGGCTCTCAGCTTCTCATCATAAGGCCTGTTCTCCTGCCCTCCGATCATACACATGGCTCTCCTCTGGACTCTCTCAAGCTTTTCCACATCCTTTTTAAATCGTGGAGCCCAGAATTGGATGCAGTAGCATTCCTTACATGCAGAACGGGCCGCCGCAGGTAGCATACAGTGGATGGCAAATGGCATTTCGGCCTCCCTGCTGATGCACTCTGAAATCCATCACAGCAGGTGGGAGTTTTTAACACTGATTTTCAGAAATGCTGAGGAAAATAGAAGTTCCACTCATTCAGTCTTGCCTTAGGAACATGGGAAGCTCCTTTTCTCTGACCTTTACAAATGTAACCTATCCAGAACACTGCCACAAAGATCATTCTCCATTGTCCCTTTGACAGTCTCTTTGAGTATGCTGCTCACTGCAGAGTTAACCCTAGCTCTGTCTTGTGTTTTTAATTTAAGCCTTCTTAGGGTGTTATTACACATTACAGTTTAGACATGATAACACGAAGTAATGTTAGGCAATATTAAAATTAGCACATGTTGTGAGCAGTCGCATGTTAAAGGTCAATACTCTCTCTAATGTGCATAGCTCTGATGTGCCACAGTTGGGTCAAGGAGCTGCCAGATCTGTCTTATGACTGCCTGACTGCCATTCCCCACTCACCCACCCTCACCTTGTGGCACCCTGGTGACTCCCTGCTAACCTCAGCCCCAGCTCCCAGCAGCAGTCGTCTGGATGACAGATCATCCACATAGGGTGGTGGAGGGGGAGTGTTTGGAGTAGTGCATGCTGGGATTCTGGAGGACTGCAAGTTACTGGTGTTGGACCTATTGTACAAACTGATGTTACTGCAACATAAGCTGCCTAACCAACAGGAGGTAATCCTTGCCTGAAGAGGTGTAACTTTGGAAGGTCCAGAGGGCAATTAACTCATTTTTTCCTGCTTTAACACATGGATGCTCCCATTTTAATATCATTGAACACTGCAAGGTAGCAGCTCAGGGAATCTCTGCATGTGCTGTATGTGGTGCTGCAGATGGGTCTGCGATGCCACATACTGCATGTCCGCACTCATCTGGACATGGCCTATGAGCGCAGGAATAGCGAAGACTCGGTAATTTAGCTCAATAATTCTGCTAACAATGCTCACAAGTTTGACTGTTTTGGATGTGGCTTTCTGATGGGGATGCTCACATCTCTGTTCAGAGCAGGTGAGTAGATGTGGATACCAAAAATCTAACTTAGCTGTGTGGTAAAAGATGCACATTTTGAATCCCTCCACCTCCGCTTTCTCTCCTTTATCAAACATTAGCTATTTGCCTTGACCTTTTTTTGACTTCACAGCCCACACCTATACTATAATTTCTTGCTCCTCATCCAGATGTTGCTTCACGTTTACAGTCATTCTAAAAGGACTGCCTCCATCATTAATTTTTCAGTGAGGAAGCTTTGGGTCCTGGTTCCTGACTTGGGCTCTAGGTGCTTTCTGTAGACTGACTGAATCAGAGATGCATAAGCGTTCATGAGCCACAGCTCACTTCATCAGACACTATACTAGTTGTGTGTGTGTGTGTGTGTGTGTGTGTGTGTGTGTACCTGATGAAAAATGTCTTGCATTTGAAAGCTGGTTTCACTCTATCCCAACTGTGCTGTTGTTTCAATAAAAAAGATCACCATGAGAAATCCTTGCCTCTCTCCCTACATGTGCATGCATCAGCGTGTACACACACACATGCGCGCGCGCACACACACACACACACACACCTCATATACAGCACCTGTTGTATATCCTGATATATGTTTTGATCAAAAAGTTCTAAGATTTGATGTTCGAGGTATTGTTCATCAGGAATTTGTACTGAGTTGTCAGACAATCAATCAGGCCTTTTATAAAGAGGTTTTGATTCGATTGAGGGATAAAGTTAGAAGAAACCGCCGCAAGCTGTGTAAAAATGGTCAATGATTTCTGCACCATAACAATGCTCCTTCACACACTGCTGTCTCCATTCAAGAATTTTTGGCTGAAAAAAACATTCCTATGATACCACACCCTCCCTATTCACCTGACCTTACCCCATGTGATTTTTTTCTGTTCCCCAAAATCAAAATGAAGCTGAAAGAAAGGAGGTTTGATGACATTCCAACCATCCATAAGAATGTGAAAGCGGAACTCAAAAAACTCACAGTTGCAGACTTCCAGCACTGCCTCTGAAAGTGGCAGGAACATTGGGACAAGTGCATATCATCTGGGGAAGATTACTTTGAAGGGGACAGCTCATAAAAATGTTGTTTGTACACTATTCTTTAAAATAAAGACTAAGTCTTAGAACTTTTTGATCACCCCTCGTAAATATAAAGTGCACCGTGCCTTATATCTGACATCAGACTAGAAGGGCTAACAATCACCTCTCTCTGTTCTAGGTCCTTTGGTAAGTCAGATAATAATAAACCATTCTTTTCTTTGTTGAATAACATTTTCAAAAGACACTGTCCATTGGTTGCCTTGATTAGTAGAACAGTATTAGTGAGGGGACCATATATAAACAGAAGTGACCATTTTTGCCTGATCTGGTCACAGAAAACAGTTTATAGCTGTGACCAAACACAAGTGCAAAGCTGCAGGCAACTTCAAAAATGGCTGATTGGGTGAAAATCTGACCCCTCATTGCATAAGGTATTAGATAAGGACATTTCAAAATGTAGCATCTTTTGTAACTTGTGGCTGCAGAGCTCCCAGGCTTTCACTGTTTTCAGAATGGGAGGCAGGAAACAGAGAGGAGGGAGTTCAGTGTGGGGGTGTTCATCCCCATTGGAAGGTGAGGTGGATGTATTGGTGGGGGGCTCCAATTCATCCACCCCACCCTTCAGCACCAGCTGGGGAGCCCCAGAATGAGCTCCATTTGCTGCCTTTCCCCCCTCCTATTCCAAAAACAGGGAGCACCAGCAGAGAGCCATGGCCAGTGCTATGGGAACATGTCTGCAGGCTCCCAGCCTCCAGCTAGATTCCCCTCCTCCCTGGAACCAACAGTGAACTTCTCTCTGGTCCAGGGTCATGTTGCAATTCAGAACGCTTTGCAGAAATCGTTCTGAGTTGCAGCTGGGCACTGAACTTCTGTCTGCACCATTGATAGCATTGAAGCATTTCTTGTTACTTGAATGTCAGTGAGTGTATCCCTGAATTTTAGGAACTTTGTTGGCTCACCACTGGTTTTGGAGAATGCATGTTTCAGTTGGGGTTCTAGTTCATATTTGCTGGTACAGGCATACCTCAGAGATATTGCGGATTGGGTTCCAGACCACCGCAATAAAGTGAATATCACAATAAAGTGAGTCACATGAATTTTTTGGTTTCCCAGTGCACATAAAAGTTATGTTTACACTATACTGTAGTCTATTAAAAGTGTGCAATAGCATTATGTCTAAAAAAACAATGTACATACCTTAATTAAAAAATACTTTATTGCTAAAAAATGCTAACCATCATCTGAGCCTTCAGCGAGTCATAATCTTTTTGCTGGTGGAGGGTCTTGCCTCGATGTTGATGGCTGCTGACTGATCAGGGTGGTGGTTGGTGAAGGTTGGGGTGGCTGTGGCAATTTCTTAAAATAAGACAACAATGAAGTTTGCCGCATCGATTGACTCTTCCTTTCACGAAAGATTTCTCTGTAGCATGCGATGCTGTTTGATAGCATTTTACCCACAGTAGAACTTCTTTCAAAATTGGAGTCAATCCTCTCAAACCCTGCCGCTGCTTCATCAACTAAGTTTATGTAATATTCTAAATCCTTTGTTGTCATTTCAACAATGTTCACAGCATCTTCACCAGGAGTAGATTCCATCTCAAGAAACCACTTTCTTTGCTCATCCATAAGAAGCAACTCCTCATCCGTTAAAGTTTTATCACGAGATTGCAGCAATTCAGTCACATCTTCAGGCTCCACTTCTAATTCTAGTTCTCTTGCTATTTCCACCACATCTGCAGTTACTTCCTCCACTGAAGTCTTGAACCCCTCAAAGTCATCCATGAGGGTTGGAATCAACTTCTTCCAAACTCCTGTTAATGTTGATATTTTGACCTCCTCCCATGAATCA